GCTCTCAGTTACACTCCATTGACGTCAGTGGGGTGGCCTGGGGTTAACTCAGAGCAGAATTTAATTCCTCATTTTTAAAGAGTGTAGCCAAAGCCCCCCAAAATGCTTTTCAGCATATGGTACAGTGTCTAAAAACGTCACCAGCTACTCCTCAGCTGCATATGCTGCGAAGTTCTTCTTTCTATCACGGCAACAGAAAAAAAAGCTATCTTGTCTGGAAAAGGCTCGTGGAGCTGTTTCACATGTCGCAGCACGCTGCTCATGGTTTAGTGAAATGAAAGGGGATAGGATGCCCCTGGGACTTGGGTGTTGCACACCTCCTGCAGCCACTCATGGCAATCCGCCATCAGCTGGCAGGATGCGGCAGCTCCATTTCAGGTGTCTAGTTCCACTGGCAGACATGCTATTGCATGGGTGCAGGTACTTTTGAAACTTGAGTGTTTCCTCATATCACACCCATATGTTGTAACACCTCTTGGATCCCATTTGGCTGCAGAGAGGTGCTGTGAGTTTCAGAGATGCCATAGTTGATTTCCACACTATGTACAGGACCACAAACCTTCACTTGAAACCAGTTGTGCTGGAAGCTGTACGTTTGAAACCAAATTGGTTGGCTGCTTGTGGCATGCCTATAAACTCCTGCTTCTTGGCTTTTGCTACTCCACAGTCTAAAACAACAAACAAGATCAACAAATAATGACAGGCAAAAATCGAAAATTGCGCATTTTTCAATCTGACACGAGATATCACTGTACATATATTTATTTCATTGTGCTTTTCCTTGGTTTTATTTGTGGTTGTTTTAAAGAGGTGTTGGCAATAATTAAAATATTACTCACAGGAGTTCTCTTATTAAATAGCCAGAATTTATTGTGTAGTGATTGTGTTTGTGCAGTAACCACAAGTATTACTGTTGAATCAAGATGAAGTTGAATTTACTTCTTGTTGAGAGTGAGATTTTACAAGATGCAGTATTTTGGGATCAAAATCAATGGGATATATTAAATCTCTAATGCATTGCTGTCCTGAAGCACTTCTTTGTTTCTGCAAGAAGGAATTCTGTAGGGAGATGTTCTCCTTCATGCAGTTCCCATGGCCTGGGAATCCCCACCAAGTCCCTCCTTCCCCCTATTCCCTGGGGGGTTAAGCCAGGGTTATGCTATAACTGTTTCTAAACGCAGGTCTTGTTTCTCACTTGCTGGGTTGCTGTACCATGTGATGGAGAGCAGGTTTTCTGTGTCAGCAGTCATCCTGGCCCCACAGATTGCACTCTTCTGATGGCAAGCAGAGGATGAAAGACTGAAATCAGAGGCTGAAGAAAAAGGGTTTTACTTTCCTGTGGCATCCATTTTTGGGCAAACAGGGGCATCTCCGGCTCAGCCCAGCTCAGCACTGTCACAGCATTATCTTCTCATGGAGGAGAGGATTATTGAAGGTGGGATCTTTCTCCTTGTTGTGGTGTGGGACTGGATAATGTGGGCAACAAGCTGAAATAGGAGGTAGGTCTCCCATCAGAGAAATTAATTCTATATATTATGAATTAACTTCATTCAATGTGCCCTCTGTGTTATATACACTGTGCAGAGTTAGCTAGATGCATGACAAGGGATCTTCCTCATTCATTACAGTATTTACACCATTATACTACAGTAATTACATCTCATAACACTACAAAATTTTGCCCCACCACAAAATATAGTACAGCAGCTTAGATTGTCCTTAGTCAGTACTGTCAGATCTTATGAGATGAAAAATTACAGGAAACTTTACAGCAAGATGATAGCAAGAAATAAATGCAAATTTTAGGTTTCCCAATTGCCACAAAATCTCAAGAGAGAAAGGGAGGACCATTTTAGATTCAGACATCAGAGCTCAGTAAGTGTTGAAATATTAGTAGGAGATCAGAGACTGGTCCAGATGGCTGAGGGTAGAGGCCAAGCCAAATGTGCCTTAAACCCTCCAATTTAAACACAGTAAGTGGGGCTTTGGGATGGGTCTGTGTTTCTTAAAAGACTATAGAGAAAAACCCAAACTTCATTTAAAAACCCAAAACACTAAACATAAAAGCCTCAAGTGCAGGGTAAAGAACAGCAGCAGCACAGCTTATTTCTTTACATGTTACAATGAGAACAGCATTCCCTCTTCTGACACAAGCAACAATAACTTACTGGCTGTATGTGTGTTGCAGGTTGAGTTAAACCTCTTGGAGCCAGTGACTGTAACAGCTGCTTCCACTCAGGATCCCTGTAAAGAAGTGATTTATAATGTGTAATAAAAGAGCTAAAATTACATTTATCTCCTCCCCTAGTGCTGGCATGCATTGTCAAAGGTGCTCTTTCATGACATACAAAGGAGCTTGTGCTGCCTTTAGGTACTGTTGGCGAAGTGGGCGGGGTGGATTGGGAGCACTGGTGTGCCCATAACCCTATGGCAATGTGACCTGGATTCATTTCTGTGTAAGAAGCCTGTGTGCAACCCCAAGTGGTCAGTGGTTTTCACTGTCAAATGTTTTCTGAGGATGCCTGTATCTGAGAGGCCAGCAGCTTTGAGGAGGAAAGCAGTAACGCATGCAGGGACGTGTGGGTGCATGCATTTCAGGGAAAGACCACACAGTACATGCTTTTGGGCTCACTAATGGCTGGAAGTATGCTTGGAGCCATGATATGGGAGCTTGGGATTTGAAGACTACTTGTCTTTTGTGTCTGTATACATCTGCTACCTTAGCAGGTAAGGGTGCGCTCTTTTTCTGACTTGCCTTCAGCAAGGCACAAACAATCTAGGAGGTACTTGAAAGCATTGATGATAACTTTCTGATACAAGAGGCGGAGGAGCTAGCAACAGAGGGTGTGCTGTTGGATCTCATACCAAACCTTTGAATGGTCGTGGTGACCAGGAGAGGTGTCTGAGGACTGGAAGAAAGCAAATGTCACTCTGTCATAGGGCAAGTAAGAGGATCCAGGGAACTGCCAAACAGTCAGCCTCACCTCAATCTGAAGTCTGGCAGGTAAATGCTTTCCAAGAACCACCCAGATTGTTTGTGCCTTGCTGAAGGCAACTCAGGAAAAAGAGCGCACCCTTACGTGTTAGGGTAAGTAGATATGTACAGACACAAAAAACAAGTGGTCTTCAGATCTCAAGCTCCCATGTCACAGCTCCAAGCCTACTTCCAGCCAGCAGAGAGCCCGAAAGTGTGTACTATGTGGTCTTTTCCTGAAAAGCATGCACCCACATGTCCCTGCATGCCCTAACCTCAGGCCCCGTGCACCCTTGCTGCTTCCCTCCTCAAAGCTGCTGGCCTCTCAGATACAGGCAGCCTTGAAAAACTTGAGAATTTTACCCTAAAAGACCAAGTTGCATTTCTATGGACCAGATTAATTGATTATATGTGGACTTGAACAAAAGAAATATTTGTAAGTTCAGCCATGAATCAGGATTTCTCTGTTGCTTGGTAGGATTACTGTTGTTTCATTGTTGTCTTTTGTTTTCTTTGTTGTCATTGCTAGTTCCAGTATTCCTGGAATATCTTTGACATCTTCTGTGAGTGTTTTGGGCTTTATTCATGGCATGTCCCCACAGTAACACTGCCATTATCAAGCCATGCCAAATCATAGGGATTCACACACTCATAGCACTGGCCAGTTTTACTCCATTTACTCCTCAGAAGAAGCACTGCTGAACTATGTATGTTCATGGCAGAAGTGACTGCTAAGAAGTGAAATGAAGATTTTCAGCACATAAACAAAATTCCAGAGATCTCAAAGTACCTTTTACTGTGGTATGTTATGATTGTGCATTCCCTTTCCTCAAACCATGTAATTTAGCGTAAAGCTGTCATCCACTCTGCTGATAACATGATGAAATCTATTTGGAATCATGTTCAATGAGCATTGGTTCTTTCCAGCTTGATTATTCACCTTTTTCTCTTCTGCTCATGCAGATGTTGCCCCCACATCAACCTTTCCACAGTGGTAAGCCCCTTTGCAAACATTTTTCATATAAATACGTGTGCTGGAAAAGCAGGCAGTACAAATTACTTGATATTTTGGAATAAGAATATGACATGTAAACCACTGTATTAGGATGGGGCAAGACAAAGTGAGTCAGGAGATATGCTTGACTCTAATACTCCTCTAAATCTTCCTAGAAAATGAGAACTGCTTTTTAGTCTTTCACCCTAGGCAGAGACCCGGTGGTTAATAAGATATTTCTGAAGATTAGTATCAATGTCCAACAGTCATTTTTCCCTACAGTAATGCCTTTACCCATATCCAGCTCCCCTGGGCTGTTGCTGCTGTTGAAATGGAATGGTCCTTTTCTCCTATGCTATAAATTTCACTTCTGCTGTGGGTATTTATGGCATCTCTTTCCAGGATAAGGCTATAAGGCTTTGTTTTTTTCAGTATGCTGCCCTGGTTCTCAAACACTGATAACCTTTTTGCAAAGAAAGGCACTTTCAGCCACCAATGCCAACCTCTCCTGCTCCAGCAAATGCATCTGTTAAGAAAAGAAATGCTATCAGCAGGACAACAGGTGGCATATTGCAGCCAATCTTAAAAGGTTATAATAAGAGGGAGTGTATGTGAGAGAGAGAGGAGAAAAAATGGAAAAGAGGGTGACTAAGCTGAAGGAAAATCTAGGGGCAAGCTTTTTTTCCACTGCTGCACTTACATGGTGCTGGAATGAAGGCCTGCTGACGTTGCAGCACTGGGGTAGGGTACTGCCCTGGAAATGCATTTGCCCATTGTACTGCTCTCTGTTTGCTTAGAAGGAATTCAGAAGGGATTTGCTTTCTCTTGTTTCATGAGCCCCATGCTTTCACACTGACCAAAGTGGATATGCACCAGTTGGCCACGTCCATCATCACCGCTGGGTGGGAGAATTCCTGATTATACTTAGATCCCTCAGACCCCACTCTGTCACTAGCAGAGAAGCTCTGCTTGAGCACTGCTTCCGAAATGCAGCCGGCTGGGAGGTCCACACGCCTCGTCTGAAGGAGCCGGATGCCTTCTGGATCAAACATGAATGACTTGCTGAAGGTGCCCCTGGTGCACGTCCTCACCCTGGCAGCCCTCAGCTTGGCTGAGACACTCCTGAAAGGTTTGCTTGGTGGGGCTTTTGCCCTGGTCTTCTTCTTCTGTCACTTGCTGAAAGAGGTTTTCCAAAGAGGGGGGTGTCTCTGGTAATGGCAGGGTGGTGCTGTAATGTTTCCAAAAAAGACAAAAATGCTCTGCTTTAAGTGGTCACTTCACTGCTTTTAGAAGGATAGCAGTGAAAATATTCTGGAATTGAAGGTTCTTTGTCTATGAAGATCACGTAGTCCATTGTAATGGGCAGAGGGATCTTTGGGTTCAGCCTGGGTGGGATGTGTATTTCTCATGTTAAAGGAAGCTCAGAAGAGTTAAGGGCTGATAGTACCTATTGCTGCAGAGCCCAAGACTTGTGATATTTGGCATGTCTGTGTACGCTAATAGGTACATAAAACTTCAAAAGAAGTAAATAGCTATTATGTCTTTACAAAGTGTATGTATATAAATACAAACATGCATTGTTTGTATAGGATATAATATAGAAGTTATTATACCTTCTTCCTATCTTATGTGCACACACACATATGGACACATGCACACATATTTTTAGCCAGCAAAAGAACTGGACAAAAAAATCTGCTTAGGAAACTCTCTGAGGTACTAGTTGCAACCATGGTCTTCTGGACGTACCATCTGATAATGGTTTGGGCAGCAATTTTCGCTGCACAATGATTGTCCAAAGCCATTCAACGCATACTAGAAACATTGCAGCTTCAGGAAAGCAAAACAAAATCTTATTCACATGTTAGGTAAACATTGCGGCTCTTGCAAGGCTGTGCTTTTATAATTGTTAGTCAGATTATTCTCAAAATGGAAAAAAAAAAAGTGGTATCTCCTTCATAAAAACCTTTTGAAATAAAAATGTTAATATTTTCCTAAGGCACTAAAATAAGTGAGTGAACCCTAGTCTTTTTGAATGCTGTGGTAAGGCAGGATTTGAGGAGCAAGAAAAACAAAGGGGACAAGGATACCATTTTTTTTCCTGGTGTCACAGAACAATGAACAGGCACATATCCTATTCTAGAACATCGCATCAGGTGGATGAATTGGCTTGTTCCCCGAGAGAAGCTGAGAGGTGACTGTAGTCCAGTTGCCCTATAGAGGTCTTGCAGCATTAGCTGGAAACACAGCTGAGCGGTTTTTGACCAGAGGAACTGCAATTTCTCTAGGTGTCTGCAATTTTGCAGGAGGGACTGGCTCTGCTTTCTGCATTATTTTGTTTGCCTGGCTTGTCTGGTTTCAAAAATGTGAATCCAGATCCAAAGCCAAGCAATCTGAAAGCTTCTGGTGGGCTGGGGATAGGAGGGGATTTGCTTTCTCGTAGTCCCGTGACCAGCCTTGGGTCATTTTGCTATCTCGGGAAACTACAGCTGACACCCAGAGAAAGGGCACCTGTGTGGATTTACACATATGTAAGTTAATTGATTTTCAGTATTACTTAAAGCCACAGGGTTGCCTTAAAAATGTCAGAAAACCCAAAGGGCTACTCATGGAAAAGATTGGCTTCATTTCTATATGCTGATAGATATGTCTGTACACTGCTTGGATTTTATTTTCCCGTGTTAAAATCTGGTAGCATAGGCATCCCAAGTTTTGAGAGTTTTGAGTGCTTTCTGAAGAAAACATGAACTGACAGCAACACCTGAGCGGTTTGGATGGCTTTTAGAAGCAAAAGCAAGCAGCATCTCAGCCATTTTGGGCCTCTGTTGCAGCCTCACAACAAAATGGCATCATTGCTCGCTGTCTCCACTTGATTTTAACATCACAAAGGTAAAAAACAGCATATGAGGAAATACCACGTCACTGTTGCTGTCACAGCTGCTCTTTGAGGATTCAGAATTTGGGGAGGCAGCTGTAAAGAAGTTCCTTCTCTTTTTACCATTGTGCTGTTGGTTTGGGCAGTATCGTCCGTAACTAAGAGGCTTACAGACTTCTGAGCTGTATGCTGGCTTTTGGGAGGTGCCAGATGAGACCAAGTGTAGGCAATATTCTGTCATGCACTGAATTAAAGACACACCATAAAAGTATTTAACTGTTTCTAGATAATTTATTAATAGGTAAAGCTGACGGGTCTTGTTTGCCCAAAAGAATAAGTTACTGTAGTTACGCATATTGACTCTTGGTACAAATGTAGCTTTATTCCTTGTGAGAATGGCTGTGCTTATGCAGACAACAGTTATAAAACTAGTTGCTTTGAATTATCATTACTGTAAAAATTTACATTTCTCAGTGTTAGAAGCATCCTTCCGGAGACCAAGGCATGCGGACAACAGCAATAAAAACATACTATATGAAATTAAATTGCAAAACTCCAGGGTTAATGCCATCAAAAGACAATAAACTCTGTCAAAACCCAGCAATATCCCTTTTGAAGTAGTCACGATAGCCATCAGTGGGGGTTATTCTTCTAAGACAACCTTCAGTAGCAGGAAAACTTAGGCTTTGTGGAAATCTTCCATTTGGTTTCACTGGCATAGAATTTATCTGGGGTGCAATACAGAGATTGTTTCTATCTAATGTAACCCAAAACAACCCAATACACTGAAGAGTGATACAATTTGAAGCAGTGATCTTAAACAATGAGTGTGTCATGGACTTGTTTTAATTAATTTTTCTTTAATATAATGTTTAGTACTACCTTAGCTATAGTTTTGAGATTTATGTGAGTACAGTCATTACTGGTGATCAATGATGGAACTTGAAGTTATAAAATATGGAAATATTATTGATGCAGATTTGTTCTAATAAAATGTCAAAAGTGTTTAGATTTTTACATAAACCTGATAGTGGAAGCTGTTTCTTTCTTCCTCTAGCTTTATTCCGGCAGAACTCCAAAGACATTCTAATTTTGACTCCCATGTAAAAAGCATTGAGGTGTAGACTTTCTATTATTCTCAGTCACTGAAATCTGAGTGTCTTCTATTTTTCCCCTTTCTTAGGAGGGAGGGGTAAATTTGTTATAATTTATTTTTTTCCTGAATTTAAACTTTAGTATACTAAGGAGGGCCAGCAGATAAACAGCAGTTGGTATTGTCCTGCGAAAACACAAACAGTATGCCACATACTGTTACAGTCAGAGAGGAATAAGAAGACTCCTGTATCCATTATGAATTTTCAAGGTGGTGTTTAGGAATATGGTATGAAATTAGTTTATCTCAGCACAATAATCAATGAAATTCAGTCCAACAAGTATGGGTGTGTGTCCCTTGCAGCCATAGATTAAAAGTTATTCAAGTGTCTTTGGAGACAGTGGCTGCAATGCATATCATGTGCAGGGAAAGTGATTCACTAGGCTTATGCTTTAATCCCTTCCAGCTATGATTCAAGTCTTTTACTGGAGTGACAGCAAGTGTTCCTAAAGGTGCATTCGAGTATTACAACAGGTATGATAACAGGTCTGATAATAAGCATCAGACATAGCTATCAGACTTCTAACTCTTGTGCTACTTGTATAGAAGAAGTGAGAAAAAGAGAACATGTACTAGTAATGACACAAATCTGAAGGACCCTAATGACTGTGTGAGCCTGGCTTTGAAAAATATAGTGCTATATAATAGGCTTGGTGTTTGAAAAAAAAAAAGATAAATAGTTGAGTGGAACAAATCCTGTAATAATGATGAAGAAGTCCAAATCTCATGCATCATGAAATAATAAAGAAGCACTCTGCCCACTCTGGGGGAAGATCAGCTTGGCTTCAATTGGTGTGCTGCTTCTTGCACTTCCAGGCTACACAATGCCAGGGGGGCAACCTGGCACGGGGATAGCCTCATCTATGTTCTTGCAGTATGCCACCTAGTGCTGTGAACCTTGGGGGAGAGGAGGGTTAGAAACAGGATCCATAGGGCTTGTTGGAGCTTGTTTTGCTCTGCTTTGCACCCTGTGGAGAGATCACAAAGCAAAATGCCATTGAGTGACTCTGCAGGGATGGCTGCCTCCACCAAAGGGGTCTGGCAGTCTATGTGCCTTTCTCCAGGAGTCACCATAAGGCTTTCTCATTTTCTCTTCCTTCACACAGCTCCCTTAATCACCACTCCTTTGGAAACAGTGGATGCCCTGGTAGAGGACGTGGCCAAGTTTGTCTGTGTAGTGGAGTCGTACCCTGAGCCGGAGATTACGTGGACACGCAACAGCATTCCCATCAGGTAGGGAGCAGCCCCAATCTGCTCCAGTATCTTCTGCCAAAACTGGCAGTGCTTTCCTCTGTGATAAAGGAGATATTTGGAATTATAAAAATAGGTCTGTGGCAGGGAAGAGGGTGAGTGGCTGTAATTATATAGGAATCTGTGTTCCTTACAGAATGATAAGAGCAACTTCACAAACTTGAGCTTGAAGACTGTTGGTTTCTGCTACAAGCTATGCAAGAATTTTCTTTCTAGCTTTAGGCTGTTCAATCCACTCTGTTCCTCAGTTTATGAGTTTATGAGGTGGGAGGATGCTGTATAATATTTAAAAGAAACTTTGCAAGACTTGTTGCCTATCTCAGTGTTCTTGGGAACTTTGTGTGGAAGGGGTCACGCTATGCTATTCTTGTTTACTTCTAGTTCTGGATCTGACTCTAGGAAAGTGGCTTCTCATTGTTACACTTTCAAATGCTAACCACCAGGCATGAGGATGCAGATGAAGGTGGTAGCCTTGGAAGTGTCTTATGGAAGTTGCTATCATTGCTTTTGTTCTGTTGCCATTGACGGGCTTCTACAAAGTAAATTGTACTTGATCTTCCAGCTCTGAAATCACGTTACATCTACCACATGCCTTCACATGTTTCTTATTCTAGATTGCTGTTAGTGACTTCCTCTGTAAAGGAAAATTACAGACTCCCTTTCTTGGTTAATGACTGTTCTCTACAAGAGATGTCCATGTTAGGCAGATGGTCACCTGAAGCATGGTTCTCACTGTTGTGGTCAGGCATCCAAAGAGTCTTTGAACCATTGGCTTGGGAAACTCCAAATAAGTCAGTGGTAGCAGGAGGTAAATAATTTTAAAATAGGAGGAAAGCAGAAACTTACACATATGCATGCTAGCCTTCAGAAATCAGTTTTTTTCACTGCCTGCAACCTCAGCAAAACCCTGGGCTTAATCCTCTGACCCTGGCTTTGTTGCAACATGGAGGTCTGAACTTCCATGGATGTTATTGCCAAATCAGGTCATGTTTCTCCCAATCCCTTCCCCATCAGTGACACCATGACTGAAAATCAAATCTGGGAGAGGACGTCATTCATGCAGGGCCGTGTCTTTCTCTCCCCAGATCTTTAAAATGGTCACTCTCTCTGTGTTCTAAGATAATATGAAAACCAGACCATTTCACACCACCATCCCCACTTCTAGAAGCCCAGTATACCTTTCTAAAAGCCATCCCATTCTGTCTCTGAGATAGAGTGCCTTTTCCACAACATTGACCAAAAAGGAAAATACAGGTAAAAACATCTCTGCTGGTAAGGTCAGAGAGCTCAGGTGCTTCATTCCTTTACTAAGGCTTTTGGAACAACATTAATATCAGCAACCATTTCACTTTCACAAAGCTCTGTGGCATTAATATTCAGTACTGCTGGGTACAAAAGCTCAGACCAAAGACAGGGAAATGGATAAGCTGAATATATTTCTGCTACTTTCTAAGAACTCAAATGAAAATATTTGCAGAATGAAAAAGGATCAAATCAGTGGGCTTTTTTCTCTGAATAAACCTCCATATAAATATATTTCTGTGCCTCTGTGTATATATCAAACTTCAAAGGGCCTAGTTATTGCAAGCAATTAATATCAGTTATTTTATTTACAGGATTTTCTTCTCTTGCCAAGTCTCAGCATCCTGAACAGGCAGCTAGGCTAACCTTCAAAACAGAACAGTGTGTAAACTTTCAACTTCGATGGGAATAGGGCCAGGACAGAGACTGCTGTCAGCACTAGTATTCTAGATGTGCCTTTTCTTTTGGCATCAAAACTTGTGCAAGGAGACCAGTAGGTGCCCTGTGCTTACTGAAAAACCAGGGCTGTCCACAATAAGCCTTTCTCAGGGAAAGAAGGGTATAGAGTTAGCACATCTTTTACACTGTGGATGAGTTCATGGCACTTTTTCCTCCCATGGTGAAAAAGAGGAGTGAGATATAAGACTGAAAGGCAAAAGGCTGTTGAAAGGAAATATGTGCTTGTCAATGTCACGTTCAGATTACTCAGTGACTACACTACAATTTCTAACAGTAAAAGAACAAAACAGGACATATTTAGGTGTCAGATATTTGTGATAGCTTGGAAGACAATCCTTAGGACAGAACTGTTCTGCTACTGTTCATCAGAATCAAAGTCCAGGTGCATGAAAATGCTTCCAAAAATCATCTATGACGGTGTGAAAATCAAACATAAAGGAATTTACGAAATGCTGTGCAAATGTTTTTTACTGAACTTTTCTTATATTTTTCCAGTTTTGTAATTAAAATCAAGAGTTCAATCCTCTGACTTCTCATCACCTTTCTGCTTTTCCCTTACTCTCACCCACACCCCACCCCACTCCTCTCCCTCCCCATGCCCCCCCTATTATGTTCACATACAGAATTGGTCTTTGCTCCACATATTTTGTTACAATATTCTACATCTTTATTGTTCCAGCTTCAGGTCTTCTCTTGTCTTCTCTGAAGTGTCCAGGTTAAATCCTGCTTTGTTAAAACTATAGCTCTCCTTGAATCCTCTAACCTTGAGAATGCTTCATCACATTTCTTTGCTTGTTTCATTTTGGTTTTTTGCTTGTTGGTTTGCGTTTTTTCCAAAAAAATAGACAAAACTGCTCATGGGTACAGGCATAAAAATACATGGTTTTTTGTTTGTGTCTATTTTCCCAACAGTATAAATCTTTGTGTAACTTTATCTGTTCAGTGAAAAAAGCTTTCCTTTTTATTCTGCAGAAGGTTTCTTTAAACAACTTCAGCCAGTTCTACTTCCTATATAAGCAGTCCTTCCTTTGCATTGCACAATTACAGCTAACAGGACCCAGCTGGAAAAGATTATTTGTGCTCATGCCTGTCCTTAGCCAGTCAGAAACCAAAATATGATACCTATTTACTTAACCGATATTTGGATGGAGGAAGAATTGCCGCTACACCAGTGGCAGTCAGGAGCTGCACGGTCTAGTGAGAATCCAAGTGAATCTTAAAGCCCAGCTCAACATTTTCAGCACCTTTCCTTCCCCCTGCAGGTTGAAAATAAAAGGTAAAGCTTACTGCCATTTGTAGCAGTGTCAGTCGTCTGTAGATTCAAATGCAGCTCCCCTTCTCTGTCCCTTGTTGTTCTCCCAGCCCTGACGATCTGTGCTGTGCCCTGCAGGCTGTTCGACACGCGGTACAGCATACAGAGGAACGGGCAGCTCCTGACCATTCTGAGCGTTGAGGACAGTGATGATGGGGTGTACTGCTGCACAGCAGATAACGGGGTTGGAGCAGCTGCACAGAGCTGTGGGGCTCTCCAGGTGAAAATGCGTAAGTGGGAATGCAATTTCTTCCTGACACCATGTGAGTATTTAATTGAAAGCCCGAGCAGACCCCCAGGTATGGCCCCTGATGATCTCTGTTCAGGGCAGACCCATGTTCTTGTGAGCCTGGGTGCAGCCCTTTAAGGCAGTGACACAGCATATTGGGTCATATCTTAACTTAATGCTGTTCTGATTATTCACTTTGAGTAACACACACTTGTGCCAGGATCAGGGTATAAATCCCAATACTTTGAAGAATGCCTTTTGTGCAAACTCCATAAAAGAGGCACAATTTGATAAATTAGACCTCCATGGCAATATTGCATAACTCCCTTGTGAATATTAAATGTAAAATTTCACTAAGTAGATTTCTGCCTGAGGATGGCAAAAGCGAGTAAATGATGTTCAGGTGCTCTCAGTAGTAGTGTGGAATGGTCTGGAGCACCATGAGCTAAATGTCATAATCTTACATGGAAGGCAAAGTACTTAGTCTTGCAAAGGGCAATGTAGGTTCTGAACTTGGTGAAGCTGAACTCATATGACTGCAGTTGCTAACACAAACACTTTAAAGGGCAGCAGAGGTATAGTCTGGCTAAAGCGTCTGTTTGTGGGAAAGGATTTGTTTGTGCTAATGATCATGACCCTCCAGGTCTGGTAATTCTGGAGTTCTACAGCACCCCAGTCACTGGCGGGTGGGGGCTGGAAGGTGATGCTCTCTTGAAGCTTGTTTTTCTGCTGGTTCAGTATCACGCAAGGGAGTCAAAATGTCAGGTCTCCCAAAATACTGAGATGACAATCTTTTTTACTCCCTGCTCAGAGTAAGCTAGGCCATATGGTTCCTTGGGCAAAATAAATTTAAATTTATCCATTATTACCTTTAGGGAGTTTGATTGCTTTTTTCTTTAAAGATCATTTCTTCTTTTAACTAGCACAGTTATAAATCCTTCCATTCGGGATATTAATTGAGTTTACGTGCCTTTCTTGTTGAGCTAGAGGCAAGCCTGGGTTAAAACTGTTTCAAAATCAATTCAATCCAGATCTGAGCTTTCATACAAGACAGTGTTTACACAGTGAAGAATGTCAAAACCTGGAATGCAAACATTCTTCAATACTGGAAATACTCTTATCTGAATTTGGATTTTAGCCCAGGCCTTAATTCAAATGACCATCAAACTCCACTCAGGAAAACAAATAACCCATGTAAGTTAACTGCTTTTGCATCCATAAACTGAAACTTAATGCTGTGCTGAAGAAAGTTCTTTCTTTCCAGGGCAGTTCATGATGAAGTAAGACTGCTCTACCTTTCAGTAATATAGAGAAAAAGCATAAAATTTTTTGATGTAATTTCTGAATTTGTCTTGTTCTAGTATCTCTTAGCTTCATTTCAACTTTAATTTTGGACTTTTAAAATTTTAGGACCCAAAATAACCCGACCACCTGTAAATGTGGAAATAATAGAAGGCTTAAAGGCTGTTCTTCCATGCACTACAATGGGGAATCCAAAACCTTCTGTTTCATGGGTCAAAGGAGAAACAGTTGTAAAGGTGAGTAGAGAATGATTTTTAAGTAGTGAAAATTATTTCTTAAAGGTATTGTGTTAAATATTATCATCAGTTATAGTATTTGTAAATTTTAGTTGCTAGAAAGCAAGCATTGGAAAATCCAGGGTTCATCTCTCTGGATATCTGTATCTTGTATTTTATGTCCTTATTACACTAATCGTGGACAAATGCTGATGAAAGCACTTGTGAGTGTTCTCATAAATAAGAGCTCTTTTGAAGCTATAATTCAGAAATCTGCAAAAACAGGGATGGGTGAGTTTGTCATGACAACGGTGAGCAGGGAGAGCTGGCCCCAAACCCTTCAGTTGTAGGACAACACAAATAATGTTCATGCATGTAAGCCCAATCTTTGTAAACGGATGTTTGGTGTTGCTTGTGTGCAGCCTGCATGTAGAGGCCTCACCTCAATTGCTCCTTCCTCTGGCAGGAGACTGCTCGCATTGCTGTCCTCGATTCAGGGAATTTAAGGATACACAATGTTCAGAGAGAAGATGCAGGACAGTATCGCTGTGTAGCCAAGAACAGTCTGGGCACAGCCTATTCGAAACCCGCAACTGTTGTAGTGGAAGGTGAGTAACCCTTGCACCAGGCTCCAGCTCCACGTGCCAGCTCCTCGTCATACCTGGTTAACTTGAATTAACCTGAAGTATTACACTGATGTTAACAAAAACATCTTGGGGGGGAGGAGAGAGGAGAGGACAGGTTCGGACAGGAGAGGTTCGGAGAGGAGAGGAGAGGGGGGGAGGAGAGAGAGAGAGAGAGAGAGAGAGAGAGAGAGAGAGAGAGAGAGAGAGAGAGAGAGAAAGAGAGAGAGCTTTCCTCATTGTGGACTTGAACATTTTCTGCACGCTAAACTGAACACCAGATTGATTTTTCAGTTTCCGGTCTTTATGCTCTCAGTGTCTATCTTTTATGTAGAGAAGATTTTTGCTTTGTGGTATAAATCATCAACAGTTTTAGAGTGCTGAGATCTGTGGACTGCAGGAGAACCCAATCATAGGCAACAAGGCATTCTATCTTCCTGAATCCTCTAAGAGAATTTCAGTTGTGTAAGGGTTTGTAGAGTGGGTGGAGGAATGACTGATTCAGTATATGAATTAATTTTTATTTCTGATTCAGAATGACCACACTCTGGAAAGTGCAGAAGGGTTTCCATTTGCCTAGTAAGCTTCAAAAGATTGTTGTGGGTTACATTTGGCCTGGGTGCAATCTCATTGCTAAGAGGAACATTGACACCTGGGAGCAGGATCAGGTATATTAGATCCAACTACAAATTACTGTAGGTCTGCTGTTTCCCTAAAGAATGCATTAATTTTCCAGGTGGATTTTTTTCCCCTTCTCTTTTTAATATTTATACATATAGATTTTGAGTCTGTCAGAAATTCCTTAAATAGCTTTAAATCTGGAAGATAGCTATTCTTAGTCTAGATTCAGAGCCATGTTTATCCCAGGATAAGAGTGATGAGGCAAAATGAAAACAGTTGGATCTTGATGTGAACAGCTTGGGTTTTTGCCCCATCACTGAGGCAATGGGCAGAGGCTTATCAAGGGTTAAACTGTAAATGGCAAATACTTCGTGCCATGCACACAAACAGCCCTCTCTGGGCCTCAGGCACTGAGATTTTATTACTCCAGACCTACCAGAGCCAGTCAGGGAACCTAAAAGCAGCCCGGAATTGCACCAAAAATCCAGGTTGCTAGGGTAGATATCTTCTTTTGTCCCCATCTGCAGAATTATGCAGTGGCCTGCTCATTCAAGGAATGGTAAAATAATCCACTAATATCCTACTTGAAAAGGAGAGCATATGAATGCTCTTTTTAAAATGAGGAAGATTAATTCCTAATTAATCAATGGGAGCTCAATGCTCCCACACAAGCTATGCCCTCATATTCCCTGCATGTGTTGGGTGAACAAAGAAATGCTGTTCTTCAGGCTCACCTTTATTTCTCTGGTAGAACACTTATATAATATATCTAATGTCAGGCTGTCACCCAAACTAGACTGATGTATGCCTGGTTTACAGTTTTAGCTTCCAAAATCCAAAGCTATTATATCTGACTGCAACTTGTTGTGTATTCAAATCCCTTCCTCTCATGGTACTTTAGATTAATTCTCATGGATCTTTAGCATGCATACATATATATACATATACCTGTGTACACATGCAGGTACACACACACACACACACATACACATCACCCTCACATAACTCTTTTATTATTACTTTTAGTATCCCTCTCCTCCTGTCTCTCCTACTCCCTTAGTAGCAGCATTTTAAAATAACTCCAAGTAAATAATATTCTAAAATTACTCAAAGCAGGAAAACTACACTCCAGTAGTAGTGTTTGAGCACACACTGTGTTCACAAAACTTGTGAAAATTGCTGTTCATTGCTTCTCTAATAATACTACAATATTTTTCCTTAAATCTTGGTGCTAGTATTCACTGGAGTCACCACTCTGCACAGTGTGGCTTAATATTAAAATAAAATTACTAAGCATGGCTGGATAACTATGAATATTTAATTCCAAGGCCAATGCTCATTCAAAGAGCAGTGCAAATATTTATACCTAGCTGAATCTAGATCATGCAGAACCTGATTTCTGTTGTGAGCTTTCCTTTTAATGGGTCCAACATCAGTCCTGTGTGATGTCCCACCCTTAAGGGGAAGGGAGCACCCAAGATTCATAGGTCCTCGTTGAAAGGAATGACAACATTCAGAGAGTTTGGAAATTTGTTTGTTAATTCCTGACCTCCTACGTAAGCACACAGCAGTGGATTTTGGATAAAGGGGTGGGATGAAAGGGAAAGTAGTGAGAGAGAGAGGTGGATTTAAGAGTGGAAGAGAGAAAGAAGTCACTATGAAGTGCTTCTCCACTAGTGCTCTGGTTTACAGCTCTGCAGAAGCCGTATAATTGTGTTGGGTTGCATTTTCCCCATTTGATTTCTTTAGTTACAACCCACTCAAATTATGAAAAAAAGGACTAGTAAAAGTACTTGCATGAAGCAGAATTGCAATAGGCAGAAACAAGCCTTCTCCACACTACTCTGCAAAGTGAAACAAATAAGCAACGATCAGTCTGCTGGGTCAGTTAAAATTAGTGTGTGAATGTGACTTGTTCTTGCTTGTACATCCAGAGAGGTCTACAAAAGGTAATATATGCACTGAGATAAAGGAACGATATTGTAATCTTGGCTGTTTACCAAGAAATGTGTTTTTAATTTCCTGGAGGCCATATTTCTGACCTGCAGTTTTGTATTAATTTTCTATTACCTTAAGGATTTTGCTAACTAGATGTTTAATCGCTACTTTATCAGTTTGGATAATGTACACTTCTTCTAACTGTAGAAGAGCATTTAATACTCAATGAAATAGCACATTGCCAAAGGATTTCTAAAAATTTCCTGTTGGTTGCTGTACTGATGCCCAAAATGAATCTCTGGCTGAAGGATTCCTGGATGAATCCAAGATTCAGGACTACGGTAGAAGAGAAGCATTTGCTGGCTTACCTGGCTTACCTTCAGACACAGATGTCTGAAGGCTGAAGTCTATTTACAAGATGTTGGCTGAGATGGCTAAGATGTTCCATCCAGTTTCACCTGAAGATCACTCCTTTAGAAATAAATATGAGAACAGCTATTGCCTTTAGTAGTGTTGAGAGTTGTCCTCAAGTGCAGAAATTCCCATTGATGTCAGTGAAAATTCAGGGCAGGGTAAAGACTTTTCAGCTGTGCCAAGAATGTATTTTTTAGACATTGTCTGAGCATTTGAAATCTGTAGTGTTTGCAAGACCTTTGTCTGTTTTTTCTTCATGCATAGGCTGTAGAACAGGGGGAATTTTGATTTTCATTGGTATTTCCAGCGACATTGATCCAGTCCACTAATAGGACCAGTTTCATAAAAGCTGTGCATGAGCTCCTCAGGTTCAGCTTCTGGGCCTTCTGCCTTAAACTATACACCCTCTGTAGTCCCCAAGGTTTGAAGTGTATCACAATGATATTCTTCATATGCATTGTGTATGAATTATAGGATATTAAAAGACTAAATTTAAAGCCATGAGCTCTTTCCTGGTGAGAGGTATGGGAACATTCCAGTTAAGAGCATGCTTGTCACTCAGACACAGAGAGAAGCTGCCTGGTATTTTTTTTTTCTTAATATGCAAAATAAATTCCACTGGATGGTTTTGCTTTAATCTCTTGCTATCTTTTCCAGATGTTGTGCTTATAACAAGTATTCAAAGTATATGTAGTTCCTGCATCAAATAGGAAGTATCTACTGAAGAACAATCATAAACCAGTAAATTTTGTGATGATTTACAGGCTTCATTGCTTGATGTGCTTTGTTTTTGCTTTGTTTTGGAGAATGTTTCCTTCTCTCCTTGGGAGAAGGAAAGTGCCATCTTGTGAATTAGTAGAATGGGTTCCTCTCTTATATGTTCTTCATTCTTCAAAATAAAAAAGTCACAAAGGAAATTGGAAAATTGATCATGAATTTCTTACCATTTAGACGTAACAACTGTTAAAAAATGAGACATAAAGCCATGAACCACACGTTTCATCCTTAGCCTTATTTTTAGCTTCAGCTATGGAAAGAGCATTTTCTGGAAACTGATGGAGTTATTGTCATTGAAATGTACAAAGGGTTGTGATGGATTGGGCACTAATACAGTTGAAGGCCGAATGTTCTTCCTAGAGGTGTCCTTCCAATCCAACAGAAGCATGTGTGTGGCAGTCCTCTGATGCAGGAAGACAGTGTGAATAGTCTACTGGGACTTTGTGTGCAATAGATTTTTCTTTATCGAAGGATGAAGAACAACCTTCCTGTTGTGCCTTTTTAGGTGCTGTACGCAGCTAGTGAAACCTTTGAATTCCCAGTTTGCCCAGTGAGGCATTTTTAACGTTGAAAAAGAAAGAAAAAAGGAATAAATACGTGAACCGTAATGTTAAAGGAAAGGGTACACGGATAGTCCTGTTGGTTGTGTACAGAGTTAGATGAACCTCCATCTTGTGACTGTGTGAAACTGAGTTTGATCTTCAGCCTGTGGCACCAGAGAATGGTGGAATTCAGGAGTTTTGGACTATAGAGTGTGATAAGGTTTAGCTTTGAAGCCACCACTTTACAGAACCGTGTCTAGAAATTAGCAATTACAAATCTGTAAGGAAACAAATAAACAAATTAACCAGGACAAGTGCTGGAAGATCCAGTATGTTTAACAAGAAACGAATGGGATTCTTCATGGATTTAATAACATTTTTTGATCAAATCTTCTCTGCAATTTCTAACAATCGGAATGGGGTCAGCTGGTGCTAGTGATCCTTTCTTTATCCAGTCAGTTTCATTCACCTTTTTGCTGAAGTGTAGCTGTTCCATTTGATCCTGTGTTATTATGTGACAGCACACAAAGCAATCAAATCAAAACAAGCATAGAAGCAATGTTCCCCACACTCCCCTGACTAGATATTTGATTTTACATTCCAACTCTGATAGATTTGAAGTCTTTTCCTGCCCAGACTTTATTGCTTATTACTAGCTACTAAAATAATACCCTGCCACAGGCCACAAAAATG